CATATTTATATACAGATGCCATGCACATGGTAACATAAGAAATGGAACACAGATACAAAAGAATCTGCGTTTAAGATCAACGCGAGGAAAAATCAGGATCTCAACGTACAGTGCCTGCAAAGGAGAAGTCACAAAACAGGGGTGTTAATGGTGCTAGCGGATTTTCTAACGGATTGAGTACGCACAAGTTTCGAAGGTAAATCATTTCACACTTTAACTATTCGAGCATTAAAGAAACTTCTTGCCACATATTTTTTTCTTTGCTAGCTGAGGACAAAGTTTCGAGTCGTTTGCTTTCGAGTATTAAACACTGACGAGTTTATCTGCGTGTGAGAATTTCCACGCTTTCTCTATTGCCACAATCATCTAAGATTGACTATATAAGTCAGATTCAAAATTCCTGGGTCAGCTAGCCTTGGAAGATTGTGACAGTGCAGAAGGAATGAAAAAACTCCCGTTCCCGTTTACAACTCAGATACAAACCATACACCTGGCGCTACTGTCTAGGTTTTTTGGTCTTAAGCTACAGTCTCTTTCAATTATTTATCGCTCGTGCTACGTGGCTGGGTACCATCTTTTTCATTTATTCGTGAAACAATTATTAGCTGAAAATTATTAAAAAATTATCTACAGAAAATCATTAAGCACCACCAAGAAGATTAAGACCGCTCGAAATATTAGTGTGGGTATCCCCTGTTAGTGGTATTACTGGGTGCTTCCACACTTCAAGTATGGCTAGGCGAGGCTCTTCGATCCTGGGCTGCATACTTCCGGTTAGTACCCACTGCTTGTTCGATAAATTTGCGCCACCTCTTTATTATGGTCAATTGTAAGAAACAAAAAAAACAAAAATCGAAATACCACCCATTTCTTTCAACAAAATTTGGAATATTTTTAAAAAAGTTCTCTAGCTATTTTGATGCTTTTATTTACTCAAAATTATGGTGGGTTTGCAATAACACAGTTGGTTTGAGTAGGCTATTCGATCATTTAATAGTCGTCCCAGTGTTCCAATCATTTCTGAGTCAGCAGTCCGTGA